TGTGAGATGAGTGCAATTGTGCGGTAGTTTGACAAACTCAATGGACATTAATTAATACATGTTTTTCTGGAACACTCTTGCTTTTTCGATGATCCAGAGGATGTTGGCAATTTGATCTCTGGTTCCTCTGCCTTTTCTAAAACCAGCTTGAACATCTAGAAGTTCACGGTTCACCTATTGCTGAAACCTGGCTTGGAGAATTTTAAGCATTACTTTACTAGCATGTGAGATGAGTGCAATTGTGCGGTAGTTTGACAAACTCAATGGACATTAATTTGAGCAAACTCCAGGAAGGAAGTTAGTGAAGGACAGGGAAACCTGGTGTGCTGTAGTCCATGGGGTTGCAGAGTCAGACCTGACTTAGTGACTGAACACGGAGAGCAGAGGACAGGCTCAGAAGCGGTGATTTGAGGGGCACTGCTGTGGTGACATGGTGACCAACTGCATGGGACAGGGAGGGCAGAGACCCCAGGTCTCAGCCACTGGGTGCTGGTCCTTGAAAGAGGACCCCTAGAGAAGAAACAGGCTCAGGTGAAGGGATGGGCATACATGACAACTTGACTTTTGAGGATGCTAACTTGCAGTGGGGAATGTTTTGTAGGAAGAGAGAAGGAATTAGAGTTTGGGAGCAAGTCTTAGAAGGCTTAGAATTCAGGAGTTGCAAGCCCAAAGAAATTCCAAGAAGAGAGTGGAGTTGTCAGGAGCAGAAGGACCACAGAGAGGTCAAGAAAGATAAGGATGGAAAAAGGGGAAAATATTATTATAAGCAAGAAGTGGGGCAACAGGATCAAATGGCATCATTATTTCATTTGCAGACAGTTGACAGACATGAGGATGGTGAGAGGAAGATGCTTGGGCTCTCTCCAGAATACATGTGATGAAGTTCTCCCTCCTTTTCTGACCTCTTCATTTCCAGTAAACTTATGAAGTCAGAATCAGTCAAAATAAATATTTCTACAAGACTTCATGTGTAACATCGTCCTCATCTTACTTGGAGATTGAAGAAAGCCTAAAGTTTTCTGTAAAATCACATTAGAGTCCCCATGAAAAGAGAAATTATCATAGGAATTTGTTATGTTAGAAACATCAAAAAAAGTGGGGGGAGGGGAGGACTTCCCTGGCGGTCCAACAGTTAAGACTCTACCCTTCCAGTGTCTCTTTTGCCGTGCAGGGCAACAAAACAATGTGGGGGATGGTGGGGGGGGACAGGATACGTCAGTGATGTGCAGAGGAGTTCAGCAGAAGCGTGACTTTATATTTGATGACATGGGTAGCAGTGAGATGGTTAATTCTCACTACAGATTTGATTGCAGAGTCAGGTACGACTGGGCAGCTGGGCGCAGCATAAACATGTCCACTTAGGCCACCCTTCTTGCCAATTTGTAGAGAATTATTTTATGCTATTAGTACAAGCAATCTTTTATCTAAGTGAGTCAAGTCAATTCTTCTGTTTTAAAACAAACTGTAAAAAATATTTGGCAGATGATTTTGCTTCTCCTAACTTCCAAAAGATATTTGCTAAAGAAACATTGTTTTCTGTGTTTGGCTGAGTTCTTAAGAGCAGCACCTTACTTACAAGACAGAAAATACAAATTAATTTCAGGTTCCATCTAAATATAAAGGAAAATGTCAAAGGCAGAAGAAGAAGCCTTGTTTGGAAAAAGTCATAAAATTTAGAAGGGATGAAGGAAAAGAGTTTCAGGGTGTTCTGTACTGTAGATTGGTAGCCTGAAGAAATGCAAGGGAATGTGGTGAATGATTGATTGTATTCTTCCTTAAAAAATACTCAATAATGGATCCAGTTTTTTTAAATTTAGAGTTTAGTGATATAATTAGTGAAATAAATAGATAAACATTTCTCTTTTGAGGAATAAAGAAGTTTTGAGATCTCAGGATATGAAGTGGGTGAAGTAGAGAAGGATGTTTTCTGTGACAGGTTAAGGATGGGCTTTACCTGTCCCTGCATCACATTGGGCCCTGGGTGTGTGAAGAAGCTTTAGCCCGGCGTCAGGCAAGTAGGAAAGCGATCCTCTGTGGCAATGTGCAGTCCTGTCAACCTTCCTATGCCTCTGACTGTTTGTTTGAGGACGTAGGGTGTGTGGCTCAGGAAGAAGAGAATCTGGAATGCCAGCATTTCTGAAAGACATGATCATCCCTTAGAGAAGATGTTGTAAGCTCATTGAGGGTAACACCCTCTTCCCCAGTATCCTCCTGCCTGTTTCCCACCTTATTTGTTTAATTGAAGGATAATTGCTTTACAGAATTTTGTGGTTTTCTGCCATACATCAACAAGAATCAGATATAGGTACGCCAAAGCCTTTTTAATTTACCTGATCATGATTTGTGGGATCTGAAATGAATCACCATTACTAGGCGTTCTTTCCTTTGATTTGAAAGGTGTTATTGTTGTTCATTGTTCAGTCATGTCCGACTCTTTGGGACCCCATGGATTGCAGCACGCCAGGCTTCCCTGTCCACCATCTCCCTGAGCTTGCTCAAACTCATGTCCACTGAGTCAGTGATGCCATCCAAACATCTTGTCCTCTGTCATCTGCATATCTGAAGTTATTGATATTTCTCCCTGAATCTTGATTTCAGCTTGTGCTTCATCCAGGCCGACACTTCTCATGATGTACTCTGCATATAAGTTAAATAATGGTGACAGTATACAGTGTTGACGTAGTCCTTTGCCAATTTGGAACCAGTCCATTGTTCCATATCCATTTCTAGCTGTTGTTTCTTGACCTGCATACAAGCTTCTCAGGAGGCAGGTGAAATGGTCAGGTATTTCCATCTCTTTAAGAATTTTTTAGTTTATTGTGATCCACAGAATCAAAG